AAGTCGAACATAGCCAAATTATATTTATATATATATATATATATATATATATATATATAAATATACATCGTAAAAAGAGGAAAAAAAAATTTGTAAAATTTTTAAGACCTCTCTTTTCTACGCATACAAATTCATCGAAGAAGACATCTCTGTTCATCCTAATTATATTTTTTTTACATATATTGCCTCTCCCTCTCAAAAATCTTTATTTATGTATGCGCATGCAACTGTCTCATTTTAATCGCAAGAAACAATGCAGACGAAACGAGCAGAATCCGAGAACATCGTATCCTTTGTTATATCGGGGATCTCAACCGGGATGCGTGTGGTATACGAGCGAGAGAGGATCGTTATCACCGAGGAAAACCGTGTGGGATTCCTTACGATAACAAATCGAAGAAACCAAAAGTTTGACCCAATTCTACCCGTCAAGAACCTACTAGAATCATTCGCGAAGGTGGAAAGATTCCCGCTTACGTATAATCCGGCTTACCCCTTGGTCGTTGTTTGTCATGGTCCTCGTCGTCCACCGTGGTCGCGAGCCCCGCTCCAGCCGGAAGACGTACGTCAGTTGCGCCGGATATGGATAATATATGACGTTAATAAAACAACTACAGAGTATCGATGGTCAGGGTGCGAGGTCTTATCACTCCTACGCGTATATTCCGCGAAAGGAGGAGAAGGAGGAGGATGATTTCTCAAGAGTCCTTTAACCGTCACGATCGCGCTCGAATTATCGATTCGAACGCGAGGAGCTGACTCGCCGCCACCGTTGTCGTCGTCGTTGCAAAACTACCAAAGTACTAACCGAATCCACCGAGTCCACCCAGAGTCGCGCGTATTTACGCCCCACGGCTGCAACTCCGCCGTCCTTCACTATCCGCGCGTATGTGTATATATTGCACGTACGATCTCCCTTCCCCCTCTCTCTCTCTCTGTCGTCTGTCACGCTCTCTGACGTGCGCCCTCCTCGACGCGGCGTCGCGACGCCGCGCTCTCTCCCAAACACTAGATACTCGCCCGGGGTAGCTACTCGTCACGATCGAGTATCACCCGCACGTGTCGTCTCAATTGATTCGCGCGTTAAAGATAATTATTACATGTAGAGATCAACATTATTGTAAAATTTTCTGATTTTTTAGTGTATTTTTTTTTTTTATAGGACACTAAATAGGCTCGATAAAAGTATTTACGATTTATATTCGCGCCCGTTTTCGACCCGCACGAGCTTACGCGCACGTTCTTATCCTCCCTCGCCTTCAGTCCTACGGCACCTGCATCCGTATTTCCATCGAGACGATGACGTCGGGACGCTTGCGCGTAACACGCGCGCCCGTATACCGAGCGACGTCATATATTGGCGTTCCGTGTTTCATTCCCTCGTAATCGTTCGTTGCACCTGTCTCACGGAGGGATGGGACTGGTGCAAGAGTATTGTCTTTTAAATAAAACTCTTTCAAATTTCGATATGTGACCCTCAATAGATCACATATGGGTCTCACTTTGATCCTACCGATATTTTAACAATATCCTGAAGTCCCTAATCAATAAAAAAGATGTCTAAAATTTATTTTTTTACTTTTATTGTACATGATCATTTTTTATAGATGTCAAGGAATATATATATAAATTTTTGTAGATTTTTTCAAGCGCTTTGAGATAGCTAAAATTGCGATTAGATATTGTGACCCATATATGACCAGAAGAAAAGCAAAAAAAAATTGTGACCTACAAAGATTAAATATATTTTTGCGTAATAAAACGTGAAGATTAATATTTTATCAAAATATTCTCTCGCACTATTTTAATGATTACATAATCTGAAAGAAAATATCGATATTTTCTCTGCTCGGGTATTTTGACTTTGCTTCCGAAATGTCGGTATTACAATTACGTGATTGCATTGTCTCATGAATCTTGTCGATTGATATCGATTACCGATTCTCTACGACTAGAGTCGTTCGTTGCCCTGAGAGATTATAAAGTCGTTCAACTTCAATAGTACTATGGCTAAAATTATCGGCGATACATATAGACCTGTATTATTATTGAACCATAGCTATATCCGGTCTACCGGTTATACATCGACGCCAAATATAGCAGGATTCCCGATGTTATGATTCACAATGTATGCTGTCTGTAGTAGCTTGGCACACAAAGGAATCTTTCAAATTTCAACTAGTCGTTTCATTAGAGATATATATACGATAATAAAAAATAATATTATTGAATGTTTTAATATATAAAATCTAACGGAATGTCTCTCCCCTCCCAATTTGGATAATCTTGGTCTTATATATTATATGAATATTTTATTAATGCCTGTATTTTATTATGTGGGTTTTCTTTTAGGGATGAAATCCATAATAGGATTATAGTATATATAAATATATATCTTAATTCTTACGGATAAAGAAAACATTTTATCCATAATTCTTATGAATAAGAAATATATAACTAGCTTGTTACATAGGGTTCTGATTAAACTTTACGGAATAACCACCACTGTTGGGATCCTGCTGCAGTTCAAAGTTATTTGTGGAAAGGCCAAAGGGCTTCAACACCATGTTACCCAGATCTTTAAGCTTCCCCAACATTTCTGTTTTTAATTTTTCGTTTCTTTCATTAATTAATGGAGGTAATCTCTGAAAGAGAAATAATTGATACATTAATAGATCGTTGTAAATAATTGTGATTTTAAATATCTATATTTTTTGAGCAAGTGATACATTACCCTCACAGCATGATTAGCTTCCGTATGATTAAGATCAAATGTTAATACTTTCTTAAAATCTTCTAATGCTTCATCTAACTTATCTGTCTCCTCATACAATTGTGCTCTCCTAATATAAGCCTTTACATAACTGGAATTTAATTCAATAGCTTTTGTACAATCGGATATCGCCGAATCCTTCTCTGTCTGTAAGTAATTGTTTGCTAATAACAACTGGAAGATACAAACATGATATATGTCAATAGCTTAGTTGTTTTCAACAAGTACCTGACATTTCGCTTTCGCCGCTGCTCTGTTAGCATACAATATAGATCTTTCTTTGTTATATGCTAAAGGACAAATTCGCAACGCTTGCGTGTATTGAGATATCGCTGATATGTATTCACCATTTTTGAAAAAATCATTTCCCACCTGTTTTAAATTTTCCGCCTCACATTTCATTGCCTGTAAGAGTAAAAATAGATGTAATGCAGTATATCATAACATACAATAATAATTCTACAGAAAAAGACATTGCAATACCTCTTGTTCAGCTTCCGTAAGTAATAAATCTCTGTTCTTGAGAAGATCCTCGATTGCATCCTCCGAAAGATCTGTATTTTGTGCGTTATCATCGTTACCTTCGTTGGGTTCCTCATCTACGATATCCCACGAATCACCCGCTATGTTTCCCGACTTTGTACTCTCGTCCATTTTAATGAAAGAACTTTCTAGACCTCGAGTAAGCTCCTCGATGACTTCTTCGTTAGACTGAAGTTTCTTCGATTTGTCGCTCGCATTATCCATCGTTCAATCAGAATACAACATTAACAAAATTGCGTCGAATTCGTTCGACGGACATATGCGTGAACATACAAAATCAGTTGTTCACCGAAAACGATTCACCCTGACATTTCTCCGTGTCTTTTACGCCCAACAATAGAGCGCGTATCGTTCGATCCTTTCTAACCAATTTCGTGTTAATTTTTAATAACAACTTGTCTCAAAGATGATAGATTCGCTGTCTTCCTCTTATAATTTTCCTCTTTTCTTTTAAATCCCGACTAAATACGTCTATTTCGTATCTTAGATGCGAGAAGTGTAATATATATATTAGATTACAATTACAAGTTACAGATACAACATCGATGGAGACAGAAGTATATTGTGCACTTTAAGTGCAGATGACGCGAAGGAGTAAGGAGCAAAGATTATGAAAAGTGAAGACAAGAAACTACATATCCAATGTCATGACCTATAAGGACCAATAAGCTTACAACTTTTCCGACGAAGTTGCGACCTCATTTGGCATCGCACGATGCTTAAAAAAGATATCATTAATCTTTTAATCGATGACGTTAGTTCAAAATTAAGCGCATCGTTATACGTGAATCTAAAAATTTTCGCAATGGACGCAAAATATTAGATAAAATATCGTAAATTTCTGCGGAAAATAAAATACATGACAAAGAAAGCGTGACACAGCAAAAAAACAAAAAAAAATATTTTTAAAAGAGATAGAATTATATCTTATTTACGTCCTATCTCTGATTATGCATATCTAATCTTTTTTTGTCTCTCATCTTAATATAATTTTCGATATATTTCTCACATACAAGAAAAATAAGAATCCGCAATTGATGATTATTAATATTATTATCGTTAATATTTACAAAAATTCATTTATTTTTTAGTTATATTTTTCTTACCCACGCATATTTAATTTCTTTTTATAATTATTTTATACTTGTGTTCTCTTCTCTCGTACACAATTCAATCTGTCAGAAATTTGTTTGCAAAAGGGAAGCTATATAAAAATTATGTATGACTATATCGACATGCTTTTTTCAATCGATGCGATGAAACTTTATGTGCGCGTGAAATTCCGAGCGAGTTTTGCAAGAATGTCCGAATGTCGTAATCATATAAATTAAACTGATTAGCGATAATATGATGCATGATATCGGCCGAAGGAGTATGTCGAACAAGGTCGCCGCGTAAATATACGACGCTATAAATTGGCCGCGCTCTCGAGATTATTTAAGAAATAGTCCGAACATACGAGAGAATTATTCTAGGCGTGTACATGTAAGTATATACACATATTTGCACTAAACGCGCGAATCCACGTGTGTCGACGTTAGTTATTCGAGAGTAAATATTTTATAACGATGACGAGGAGATTGATCGATCGTCTCGCGCGTGTTATACTTTAGAAGGCGCGAAATAAGGAGAAAGACGGAGTGAACAGATGGACGGATCTACATTTATTCTGTTTTTTTTTTTTTACAGATTCCATTTTTGGAATATTCAATATTTGAAGTATTTCGCACTGCAAATAACTAGGCAATCTAAGAATAGCAATCAATAAAACGTTGACAGAGAGGGAGTGAAAATTAGAAGGTAACGGAGAGAAAGAAAGAGACAGAAGAAGATAGTGAACAAGAGAGGGGGAGGTGTATACATATATATAAATTATATATTAGACGCATCACCACGTCGTTCTCGTTTCTGTCGCGCGAGAACGAGAGGCGCGAAGAGATTACAGTCTGTGTGTTTATATGCTTCCCGATGCGGCGAACGAGACTGAGATCAAATAACGGTCGCTTTACCGTAATATAACAATTCGATCTGTGAGAAATTAAGTGCGTGTCGTAAAAGTGCCTTTTCTGTCATTAACGCACGCAAAATGGTAAGTTTATTTAGCTCATTATAACGTTTTTCTCTTTTCCAGTAAAGTCAATCAATCAATGTTTTATTATTCAGAGATTGACAGTTCTCTTTTTTTCCAGTTTCAGAGAGACGGAGCGAAATTAAGACAGCGCATAGGGAAAAGATCGTCGGTCGAATTACCTTACGAGAGCAAGATCGCTTTGAAGAAGCAAGACGTACTGCCAATCGAAACCCAGCATCTCCTCTTTGTTTTGACATTCTTTCTCTTTGTATCGTTTATTATAATCGTACTGGAGAGAAATCTGCCTGATCCGATAACTATTGATACAGAGAGATTGTATCCAGGAAGATTCGTAGCTGAACGTGCTCGCAATCATATTGTGAATCTAACATCGATCGGGCCTCGTATCGCCGGAAGCTACGAGAATGAAATCTTAGCTGTTAAATTTCTCACGACCATAATTAATAATTTGATTATAACAGCACACGAGAATCATAGGATAGTCCTTAATATTACAAAGCATAGTGGTGCATTCCCACTTAAGTTTTTTGATGGCATGACTAATGTTTATAGAAACGTACAGAATGTTATTGTCAAAGTTGGACCTCATAGGCCTACGACGTACAGCTTGTTGCTTAATTGTCATTTTGATTCATTTCTAGAGAGTCCGGGTAAACAAATTATTATTATATATGATATATTTATGCAAGATATTTCTTTCTATTGTGCATAATCTTATTAAATGAAAAACTTTAGGCGGTTCAGATGATGGTGCTGGTTGTGCTGTAATGCTGGAGATTTTACAAATAATTACTCAAAGCCCCAGAATATTGAAGCATAATATTATATTTTTATTTAATGGCGCAGAAGAGAATATATTGCAGGTATGTTAATTTCGTGTCACATTTTGATAGTTATGAGTAAGAGTATTTTATTCTCAATATACTTTGTAGGCATCTCATGGCTTTATAACACAGCATCCATGGGCAAAGGAAGTTCAAACATTTATAAATTTAGAAGCATGCGGAGCCGGTGGTCGCGAATTATTATTTCAGGCTGGACCTCACAATCCTTGGATGCTTGAGGTATATCATATTATTTGCACTGTTATTATTCAACATTGTATCGTTATTCAAAGTTCATTCCTCATTGATGTATATATCCACACAGGTTTATGCCAAATCTGTGCCATATCCTTATGCATCATCCTTAGCTCAGGAAATATTTGAGAGCGGCATTGTACCTGGTGATACAGACTTTCGGATATTTAGAGATTTTGGAAAAATTTCTGGTAAGTTATAAATTTGTTTATGCTATTACAATTATGCTCTCTTTATTATTTTATTGTGTGTGTTAATAGAAAATTTACTAATCTTTGTAAAATTTCATACAGGCGTTGACTTTGCATGGTCAAAAAATGGCTATGTGTACCATACTAAGTTTGATAATGTTGATCAGATACCACTGGGAGCTTTGCAAAGAACCGGTGATAATATTCTTGCATTGACACAAGGGATAATATTTGAAGATCATTTATCAGATCCGAATATGCAAGAGACACGGGGAAGTCTTGTATTCTTCGACTTTTTGGGCGCATTTGTTATTAGATGGTCACGATACATCGCCAATACAATTAATATTGCCAGTTTAATTACAGCTGGGTACTCTATCTATTTGAATATGCAGAATGCACGTAGAAGTAAGAATATATAATCATTATTTAGATTCAGTTCTCAATAGATCTTAATCAGTATTCATTTTCTCGAACAAATCTGAATGATACAATCAAATTATCAAACATAGATATTAAGAGATGGACGTACATGAGATATGTGACAATGTGTGTTGGAGTAGTCATCATCTCATGGTTGGCATCCATATTTTCTTGTACGTTAATTGCCCTGATCTTGACTAAACTGGGAAAGGTAATGAGTTGGTATGCGAGACCGGCGTGGCTATTTTTTTTATACATTTGTCCAACCACTTTCATGTCGATGATTGTATTCCTGCACATCGGATCAAGACAGAGGAAGGCAAGTGATAAAGATATCCTGTCCTGTGGCAATCTCATTCATAAATAGAAAGAAATAAAATTAAAATTAAATTAAATAAATCTTATTCATTCATTACGCTTGTAATATTGATGTTAAACGAATTCGCGTTTAAAAGCTTATTACGACATGAAAAATTTATAGAATAATCGATAATTTATAGGAAGTTAGCTCTGCATGGATCTTGTATCAAATGTACTGTGATGCGTATGCCATAATATGGATGACGGTTCTTTTCGTATGTGTTTTATTCGAGATACGATCGGGCTTTATACCATTGCATTGGGTCTTGTTCCCAGCGATTGGAAATATCGTGCGACATTATTTCTTCAATAAATGGAAAGGTGAATATAATTTTAACATAATTCTTCGTTTTTAGGTGCTAACATTGGTAATTTCAACTAAAGTGTTTTAAACTTTAAAGTGTTAATCTCTCTAATATCTAATATAAAGCATTTTTATAAATTTTACAGACTGGAAATGGCTTTGTTATCATTTGGGATCATTGAGCCTATCCTATATACAATCATTTTACTTATCGCTCGGTGCTCTCTATCTCTTTATCCCAATAATGGGAAGGTCCGGCGGCAGTATTAATTCCGAAGTCATAGTAGCTAACATGTTGTCAATATTATTCTGTCTGCTATTTAGTTACATGGTAAAATATTTAATGATAATTCAAATCGTATTTGCATGAAGTATAATTTGAAATCTTTAATTTTTGAACACTTCTTTCAATACTGTATTATATAACATAATGTCTATATGTAACTGACATCTCTCTCAATGTTTTCAGTTGCCAATAGTGCTTCTAATAAAGAATGCGGAACGAATTATAAATGTCATAGTCGGCATTTTCTTAATTGCTATTGCTGTGTTAATTTTAACACCGCTTGGATTCCCTTACAGTGGTGATCCATTATCGCCTGCCCCAGAACGATTCATGATCGCGGTATAATATAATTATTTTTTTTTTTTTGTGTAAAATTTCTTTTGTTTTATACAAGATAATAGTTTATATTATATTTATTTATACATATCTTTTTCTTATGATTTATAGCACACTCAACGTCAATTTTATGATGCAAATGGTAGCGTTAGGTATTCCGGTACAGGATATTGGTTAGTGGATTTAGATATGAATAGTCCTCACAGTGTAGAATCGATAGTACCTGAAGTGGCTGTCGCGACGCCAACAGTCAGAGACTGCGAGAAAGAATTATACTGCGGTTTTCCATATTTAATGCCAGTCACAACTTTCTTATGGTATGTACATATCGAAATTGATAGATTATTTGAAAATAATATTGAAAATTAATATAGATTTTGGGAAAACATATCTTTTTATAGGAAAACGAGTTGGATTCCTGGACCCGCTCCACTTATAAGTATACCTACAAAACTCGAGATTATTTCAAAGACTGCAAAACAGCATATGGTTAATTTTACCTTTAATGTTACAGGTAATATATTAATCAACAAGTTTATATATTTAAGCTATAAAATAACCTCCAATATAATCATATATCATTATATTGACTTTTTTAGGTCCTGATCACATAGGTATAATTCTATCTCCATATAAAGGTGTTCATTTAAAAAAATGGTCTGTGATTGATGAGAAACCATTGCAAGGTCCAATGTGGAACGATAGAGAGACTTATTTCATTTATTATGCATGTGCCTCAGATTGTATACCATATACATTTTCTATCGAATTGAATGTAAGTTTATGATCTAAAAAAAAAAATTATTTTTCTTTATTCTATTGTTGAACGACATCACGTATTTTGTGCCATCTTAAATTATGTATATAACTAGGTGTCCATCGCGCAGAAAGGCCCGTGTTTGTCGATCGCGTTAGCCGGACACTTTTTACATGGCGAACACCAAAGATCTTTGAGATTTAAGAAATTTTTGGCGCAGTTTCCATCGTGGACTGTCATCGCTCCCTGGACAGCGACGTATACATCATGGGAATTTTAACGAGAACGGTAGTAGGATAATGATGCGGTAAGTGCGGACTAAAATGCAAAGCAATATTGTCCTACAAAATAGAACATCTCTCGAAATAATGAAGCCTAATAAAACAGCGTTTGAGGTATGATTGAAACCTAATAACATGGCTATATAATATCGCTTGAATATCTTACATTTAATCTTTAATATTTCTTAAAATATTTCGACACTCGAAAAGTATCGAGGAAGGTTAACGAAATACAGTAAAGAATGAAACGACGAAGCGTTCTCATTCTGAGTTTATATGAATTTTTTACTAGCGTATTATCGTTAACAGAGATGATGTCAAATTAGCGTAAGATATTGATTTAGATTTAAATTATATACAGAAATATCTTATCATTATATATATATAGAGAGAGGAAGAGTGAAAAGGACAAAGAGAAAGAGAGATAATATAGATCGAGAATATTTGTCCAAATGCTTAAGAAAGTGATAGCTACAATTATTTTTCATAGAATAAAACGTACAGTAATATTGCATATCATAAGCACGATTTAGAATAATTCTACGCACTATTTTTCGATTTTATAATTTCTACAAATATTTAAAAAATCAAAATCTAGAAATATTAAATGATAACATAGAAACTGTGATTGCATGATATACGCTCTCTTAGTACACTTCAAATACAGATTTAAATATCGATACTAGTTCAAGTTGCCATCCCAAAATCCGATAAATCAACTACTAATTGCATCATTAGTGTATTGTGCATGAATTATACAAGAACCATTTGAACTGTTTAAACTGTTTAGATTGTTTTATGCTTTTGAATACCTTAGAGTTTGCGAATTTGAAAATTCACGATTTAATCGGCCATAGCTGCTATTTGACATAAAATACAACTCAATGCTATCATCAGAACATCATGAAAACATCAAACTTTCCTCATAAATAGACAATATAAATGACAAGTAAATAGTATTTTACATTGTAATACTTTAGATGTGACAAACAAAAGTTATTTGAGATAAAATTAAATATTTGAAGTTTTATATTTTGAATAGTATAATCAAAGAAATAACATTTTTTTAAATATATATATATGGCATATATACAGGCACATACATACAGAATGTGCTTAATATGATACATTCTATACTTAGATTTGAGTTGATTACATTCTATATGCAATGAATTAAGAGAAATTTGTAAGAGCATTAGAATTTTGTAAAAGAGCTTTTACTTCATGTTCTAATCAATTTATGAACCATTCCCATTTTTCCTAGTTTTAGATATCTAGAAATCTACATTTTTAATAGCATATCAAAAAAATTGAGACTTGTGACATGAGTATACATGTATATCCTGATGTAATTTTCAATGATTTTTATATAATAGTTTAATATTTTTTGCATTTAAATGCTAACTACTATCTCTTTATGCCATAGTTGTAAACAGATATCAAGACTATCTTTAAATATAAATCTTTAATTTCTTTATGCAATTTCCTCTTTAATAACAAAATATTTTTTTTCACTTATATTAAAAATATTTCCGATAATAATGTGCCTCTTTGTACACACACAGCATCCATATTTTATGATATTGCACTTTTAACAATACGTTCTGCATGAAATTATGGGCCACTTTTTCATATTACTATATCTATATTCATATATGACCATTAAGAGTCATGTTAATCCGATTCTTCTAATGTGATCTTGACACGATTCTTCTTCTCCATCTCTTTCATAATTCACAATTAATATCAATTTATTCCACGAGTACAATGAAGACTACTTAATAATATTGATTAGCAGAATATATCTAGTTTCTAGAACAGTTAAAACTATGAGATGCTCTGCTTACATAATGAAATTTTTGCCACAAGTCCATTGACAGAGTTGATTGCTTAAACTAATACTTATGCCTGTGCCGCAAGTTACTCTATGTAACTTACCGGATTATTCATTGTACTTGATAAAACAATATATGATGAATATGATTATATTGCGCGAAACTCTTCTGATCGAAATCTTTCGCGAATAGAAAAAGTTATTCATCAATAATACTAGTGATAAATAGTACAACGCGGACGCGTATTTCATTATATAAAAAAATGATAATTTTATATAATATATAAATCAAGATTTTGTAGTAACAAAGTAGTAAAATATTATAAACGCGAGGACGAAAAAGTTGAAACATCTTAGAGAGAACATTTACGTAATATATTTTTATATGTAGTTCAAATTGTTTGTTTTCTACTGTCTGTTATGTTAATATTATTAAGCATTAATTAGGTATGTACTTTCATCTATATGTTTGCGTTAATTATCTGTATCCATTAAATTGTGGCTGTTTTATTCAATTGTTCATTAATTTTCTTACATATGATACATTTTCAATTTATTAGCTAATAAAAAATGTTTCAAAATCGCACAAATCTATATTTACTTAATTAGTGTGCACAAAATTATAAGCAATAATTATCTCATAATTTGATAGCAGCTATACGTAATTAATTACAACGGCTTAAAAATAAACGAATATTACCGATTTGTTTATTATACGTGTCCATTTTTTGCACATTATATATTATACACATGAAAATGTATCTTTATGTGTTCTGTGATTCTTTAAGCAATCGCTATTAATACGAGCGGAGAGCTTTATTATTGTAAAGCGAAAGTTGCGTAGTTATATCAACAGGGTTCTTATTTTATTGTTAAGAGTAAAACGAAGTTGAAGTAATAATAACAAAGTTTTTTCATTGTTCCTTGTGTTTCGAGAAGATAATTCTAGATTAACACGTAAAAAAAGGGCCTTGTGTATTTTTCGCATGAATTGTAGATAATTGTATTTCACAACTTCGTTTTACGCCAAATACCGGCCAAAGGATCCATCCATTGTGCGTGACATACGTATAATTTATCCTGTAGGTAAAAAAAAGCGTGGACCAAGTCCACGCGTCTGTTAAAAAGTTGTTGCGCGCTTTAATGTATGCTTAAACTTTAATTATTCAAACCATAAAAGTAATAATATTAGAAAATTGCCCCAAAAAATCATGAGTAATAAAATATACCTTAAAAAAAAAGAAACATTTCCTTTATACAACTTTTTAAACAGACGCGTGCATTGTATTCACGCGTTTCTTACAGAGAAATTTTTACTTTTAGACTGGATTGCAATATCTTTATTTATATGATATATAGAGCAAAAATAAACACGCTCTCGTAATGTAAAACGAGCTTTAACTTATTGGGAACTAGAAATTGGTCTAGCTAAAATCCAATAATCGGAAGATATTCTGAACTAAACAGCTCGGATATAGATAGACTATGATTTGGCGCGAGACATTATTATGTCTTTCATAATACGTGCTTTTAGCGATAAATTGCGATGGGTGTATCATGGGCTTTAATTCAAGTGATTTAACGTTCGATAAGAGAGAGAGAGAGAAAGAGCGAAACATATATATAGTATAATATATTGTTTTCCCGCACACGCAAATTTATTTATACACAGGCATATGTTCCTGCGTGCGTTTGAGCATTACGGATATATATTGCGATACTGTTACTTAACAGTTGTTGTTACATGATTAAGAGATTATATGAAAAGGAGAGGAAATAAAGAGAGTTAACGATACATTATTGATTTCCTTCACCTGATTGGATTTTATTGGGATTCGATGCCCCGTTGATCATTAATAACGATGACTAATCTAACACAAGTTATAGAGCCAAGTGTTGCTGAATATATTTTGATAAATTGTATTAATTGTATGAATATTAAAACTGTTCATGTTTTTTTTTTTTCTTTTTTAAGAAGGTACGTTTGTTATATAAATAAAGTTTGTTCGATATTCACACGTTCAAATTATTGTTGCGCAACTTTTGTCGCGCGTTTAATCGATATAAAATTGTCTTTCGTTACTCAATGAATCTTTTGTTCGAATCAATTTCCTGTTTTCCCGCGGCGTATACTCTTCAACGATTGTCACAACGATCGCGTTATTTAAGTTTCACGATCACATTCGCGTAACGTGGAGATACATACAGGCAACAATGGAGTCACGCACAAGAATGTTGTCTTACAACATGTCATCGTTATCATCACTTTTTAAATCATCTAGAAGAAAAAATAAGAATATCGTTTAGCAATTATGTATTTAATGAGTTTTTTTTCTAATTAAATCCATAATATTTAATTATTAATATACACATTAATGTTATATTTACAATTCTATAATAATCATATTTTTTTATTTAAAAATTACAAAGAATGGATATATCCATTAGAATTATTCTGTGCTATATCGGGTCTTTTCGGCATTTCCCGTGGCATTCACGGTGACCAGGGATAGAGGATCGGCGAAAGCCCGGTTCTCTCATGTTTCGTAAGAAATGTGTCAATATTGACGCGCCAGCATCCTGTAAGGCGAGAACGATTTCCTGGTTAAAAACGATTCGCGGCCACCGTGTCACCGCACTGATCTCCGCGCCGTGTCCGAGGTACGATTATATGGATTTGTCGCGATGTGAATGTAAGGTGGATTCTTCCAAATGTATATTATGAAGCTATCGTGCGCGAATAAAATTGGAGAATTTATATTATTCATGAGAGAGAGAACGAAGAGATATCTAATAATTTGTGGAAATTTGTGTGCAGTTAAATGATATTAATACGACGACGAATTTCAAAAGTCTCTTGAGGTAAGTAAACTTTGTCCTGAGATAACTATGTTATTATTTTTATGTAATATATCTCGTGAGAGGAGATGCATAGTTAGCGCTAAATGCTAAAGGCTTTCGTTAAATTCATTCTCATCTACTGTTTTCTCAAACTGACCGTTCGATCGGCATTCAATCGGCATTCTTCGTGTCGGACAAGTCGAGACTCGAGAATATCAGGCCTTTGTGCCGATTCATAAACATGCCGACAGTGTTATTACTTTATCACAGAATACGTTTGATTACATATGCCCGATCGTGATAAGTCGTGGTATCGCCGCGATAAAGGAAAGCCTTTACAGTATCAAGAGTGAGTCTCTTTCGCGCGAATTAAATAGAAAAAAAGAGAATTGATGAAATTGATTCATGAAATTGAACCTCCCGTTCTGTTAATTTTCGACATAGCAAAAAAAATATTATGTTAAAAGAAATTTGCAAATTCTCTTTCAATTTCTCTCGTAATCGAGTTATAGTTAATTGTATAATATGTAATTTATAATTTTTGATGTAAAAAATAGTATATATATGGATACTCGAATCACAGACGGTATGTCAAAAACAATTTTTGATTGATTAGTGATGATTTTTTTGTCACAGAGGCGACAAGCTGTCGCGCGCGAGGCTTGTTCCGAAGGTTCCGGTAAAACGATAAAAATGTTATATAAGCGCACCGGTGTGTCTTGGTCGCACGTGATGTATCGACTTGTGTGCATCTTACGTGAATTAAACAAGAGCTGTCAATTAGGATCGCGGTACGACCGTTTATTTGCAACCGTGTGTACACGTATGTGTGCGTTTCGAAAAGAATATGTCGCTAATTGAAATTAAGTAATCGAAATTATCACTTTGTTAACGTGATATCCATTACTGTCCATTACTTTCAGAGTCCATTACTTCTAGAGATCTGCAAAGTGACCCACGTGATTCACAAAGTGAAATATTGTGAATATATTTCATGACCGGATGATAATTGAGCGATCTCTTTGTGGTGATTGGTGATCCTCGCGTGGTAGCAGCATTCTTGAATCATTTCTTCGCTTAATTTGAATTTATATTTTCCCGTGTTTGTGCGGGGAGCAAGACATGTATGCGCAAGTCCCTTAGAAAGCGTAACTACGATTACAGACGCTGGCATAGGTCTACATTTCGCGCTAATTGAGACACCGCGTACAATTATGAGCCGTCTGTAAAACAACCTGTTGACCGCTGGGATATCGCAGGTGCGTCGTGTTACCACCCAAGTCTCAACTGGAGTTAATTACCGCACAGATTACCTTAATTATTGGCGAGCTAATAACTAGCCGACCTGAGTCGAATCTTTCCATCGTCGACCTCGGAAGCTATCCGATATGCTTCCTTCCTTTGCTTGATGATGTTCCTGCCTCTGATTTCAGTCGTCATTCGTCCTCTCCGTCTCTTTCCGCCAATTTTTTTTCGCGTCCCGCCCTACAAAACTCTGTAGCTGCTTGTTCTGCAATTAGCATGTGACTGCTCGCTTCGGTTTAAGTAAAGGTGTTTCGCAGAGTCCACCTCATTTGCACGGCCTACTTCCATCGAGATCTCTGGTACTGCGTTCTTCCTCGCTTATCAATGCTATACATTGTTTCGGTGCGGAAAAAGATGATGTTTCTAGAAATATAATCGTAAAAATATTTTTCTATTAATAATGCAATATCATATTCCATTTTGTTCGCGAGGTATTATATTCGCAGAAATATCTAAATTCTACGTCTCTGGGTAACAATTTTACGAAATGTCACTTTGAAGATCGCAAACTGTATTCATCTTATCTTTGGCATATTATTTACATTATATCATTTGTAGATTTGATATACTTGATCTTTATTATTTCTTCCTAATAACGATGCGTCATGTTTAAGAGAAAGAGAGAGGGAGAGATAAAAATTTAACGACACGAGCGATACGCGCGAAACACCTCGTAAAGCCTAAAAATAGGCCGAAAATCTTTCACGCGCGACGTCTTTTCATTTTCTCGTTCCGCGACGAAAATTCGCGCGCGAAAACTCATTGACCCTCGAACTTTTCCAATTAAAATCGTAGCCGAGAGAAATATACACTGTACGTATATTTATATCTCTGACATATACAACGGACATACAACTCGTCGACATATAGCCGCCGAATATTCCGAACCGGATGGAAGGTGCGTTCCATCGCGAGCGTATTGCGTTTGCGTGTCCGCGCATACGTGTTTTGCGTACGAATTAATTGTTCCTCCATTGGAGCGCTTTTTTTGCTTTGTTTCCTCACTCGGTGAATACGGCGCCGACGACGACGATAGCGGCTGTTGTCATTGTTTGCCGTGGCGATGACTTTCTCCGCAACGGCTTCTCGGCGTGCCTATTAATCGTCTACTCTAACGCCCGGGGCAAAGTTTACTCTCCGATGTACAATTAAAGAGATTATGCCCAAACCGTGTTTTAACAAAATGGAATTTACAGTTGTCAAACTGCGTTCTTCTTGAAGATGACGATCTCGAAGTGATTTCGTTCTGATGGTTTCTACGACGTGAGTAGAATTGACATAATAAAAGACACTGTAAAATTTAAAATTTATTGATAAAAATTACGGTCCACGCAGTATATAAACAATTTATATGAAGCTACTTGATGCAAGATAGAAATTCCTGATTTTCGAATGTTTCTCTCTCTCTCTGTCTGTCTCTTTCTATTTTAATTAATAAAACAGAATAAATTTATATGTATATAATAATAATTTGATATATCTACGAAAATTTATTTCAGCGAGGAAGTTTGTATACAATTATCAATTACCCCAGAGAATGTAATATTATTGTTTAGACATAATCTTCATTGTGGATTGAAATACGGATAGAACACGAGCATGCATTCAGACTCTGATGTCTGATCGCGCGTCAATAAAACGTGTCTCTTTAACATACGCGCGATTAGAGTTACGGTATATATCATGCGGTTAAACCGCACACGGGAACGCTGAACTTAAAGCTTGTGCAACGCAGGGTGCCGGATTTGTACAGCTGTTGGATAGCAACGGGTATTTTTGCTACCTGAGATGAAGAGGGCACATAACAGTACCTCGCAAAAAGTACATTAAAATATTTTTATTTCCTATGAATATTAAAAAGATTTTTCTCGTTAAATCACGTGAAAATTTGTCGCAGAATTTGAGATAAAATTCAGCTAATCATTCTAGTCAAATTTTCATCTATAAAAAACAGTGTAGATTGACTTTTATCGTGCGTGATCTACTATGTACTCGAAAGATTAACGTAAGCCTAAGAAATTTCAGACATTCACCGTTGCGTAAAAAGTAGCTTTTGGAAATATATCGTACTCAAATTCGATTAGTTACGACGTAAATAAATTCGTTACATTCCTAATCGCGATGCGCGAGGAATGATCAATGAGCGATACAATGCCTCGTGGCAAATCACCGATACTATAGCTACGTAGGTGCGTACCGATATCAGGCAAGGATTTCTATTTGAGACCCGAAGAAAAAGACACATATCTTATCGGATGGTCAGAGAATTCACACGTGATAATACCTTTTAGTTTACAAATATCTTTTTATATTAATTTTGCAATATTTTTGTCCCGAAAAATTAAAATTCTTTTTAATAAGTAATTTATGATCAAGGATTGTGAAAACGGTTATGATAATTTTGATTATTTCGCGGTTCTTCGAATAACCGATATATAAACTTGGTTCACTTCTCCGTGCCATAAACATGAGAAAAATGGACTCTACGCCAATCGTCACTATCGTCGCGAACAAGCATAAAGATCGCATCAAAATCCAAACCCACCGCGAAACCACATACCGACTTTAATATCTCCGTTTATGATGCCATGATGGAATGATAATGACGTCGGTCTAGAAGATGCGCGCAAAATAAGCACGAATGCCCGCCTATGTACACAATGAATATATATGATGTCATATCGATCGGTGCTCTCGGTATTTGTTACACGGGTTACGCGTGATCGGCATGAAAAGATACTCGTCGAACGATTTGGTCGGCCAGTTCTTTGCCATATCCGGTCACCGGGAGCCACACACGATTCCTTCGGAGGTGCGCGAGTACGCCTGGTACCGGAAGTCACGAAGAACATTAGGATCCTGCGAACGTGCGTAGCGTGATATGTGTACATGTATGTGTATATGGATGAGATTTTCATTCTAGCGGGGACCGCTTTTTGGGCGCGCGCTTCCGGTTGAAAGCTCCATCGACACTAAAATTATCGAATTATAATCACGCAAGATTTCTCAGACATTGTGATCAAAGTAAATCATCTTTGTTAAAATGCGTCAGTTAATCTCGAATATCGTTGAATAAAAATTCATTTTTATTTTTTTTGAATTTACCGATCATCATTATTTACAGCTAAATTAATCATAATTAATTATAAATTAATTAATTATGAATGATTAATATAAAATATTGAGATTAATTATTTTAAATTATTTAATTTATAATTTAATTGAATTCTTTCATCAACGATATACGTATAAACTGTGCTTCTGATCGCTTAAAAGTCTACCTTGTTATTCTTATATACGGAGAATAATAGAAAGAGCGATGATTCGCGATGAAGAACGAAGAGTGAAAAGAGGCCGGTTCGAAACGACTTGACTCCAGCCAATGAAGTAGGAAGGTAAAAGACTTCAATCCCCCTCTCAAAGGTGCCGATGCACACAGGTACACGCACGTCCTCATGTCTGTGTCTTCGAAGGTACGACGCCCACGCTATCAGTTCTTTGGCGAACCTCCAACCTCGTGCAGGTACAGGTGCCTTCGGGATTGAATGTCGGAGCCGGCTCCTTCATGTCATTCCCGCCATTGCCCGATTTCGAATTCTTCAGTATCTAAAAAGAAAAATTCTTGTTGAAACATTGCGATCCTCGGTTTGAAAATGCTTTGTTGGATTTATTAAAACTATTTTCTTTTCTTTTCTCTCTTTTTTTGAAATTTTTAGGGAGGTGATAAGATTGGTGAACGATCGGAAACTTTGGATGGATATCGTCTGGATATCGTTGATTAATCAAGTTGTAAGTACGAGGATTAATAATCAAGATTCTTTCTTTTTAGATGAATATAAATAATACATTCGATTTTTTAATATTGAAATATTTTATGATACAAAAATTTCGCGTCTCTCGCAGGTGTAATGTAAATTTGTGTTTTCTTTTATTAGATTATATTTTATTGATTGTAACATTTTTTGAATTGAATTATTCGCATTTTACTAAACACATGTGTTTTTGAGCAGGACAAAATATATATATATATCTTATCTTGAAATCTCTTATTGTTGCATTCCACACAAATCTGATGAAAATAGAAAAGTTATGTGTAAAATTTATTCAGTAATGAAAAGTAAGAAAGAATCTAATAATCTCACCAACATTTATAAAGCATCTTTTATATTTTACGCAGTTGTATTTAATATATAGTGATCTTTTTTTCTTATTTAACTGGACGTTTAGGAGGCAAGATGTCGGCATAGCTGATATTGTTTGAAATTCGGCTGTGTCACATCCAGCCAACCAAACGGCCAGACGACAACGTGAGTTTTTATACAAAATTGATAACATAGTATTATCAAAAATCCAACTTTGATATTACTTTCTTTGAAAAATTATATCGTCTAGGTTGGAGAAATCTTTCTATCACAGTGACTCACGAAAAATTGATCGGTGTTTCGAAAATTTCAAAAAATTATTCGGGAATTTATTATTTTAGAAATATATACATTTATGTGTATATATTTCTTAATATATGTATATATTCTTAAGACAAACTATATAAAAATCTCTTTTGATGTGCTTATCTCTCACTTTTTTTTCTATGTATCGTTTTGTTCTCGTTTTGCATTATTATAATCTTTCATAAAATTATTAAGATATTTTAACAATTTCGTGAGTAACTATATGTATCAATAATTGTTTAGATACATACCAAATTATTCAACCCAATTCATATTTTCCACTTTTTTATTTATTTTCTCTTCAACGCGCACATCATACACACAAAGTATATTTACTATATCTACTATATCGTTAGAGCAAACAAAAACTCCACGGATAAATTTGACGTTTGACAATCTTCTTTAAGTTTTCGACAGATGTCGTATAAGTCGCTGTTTAAGCGGAGGGGGAAAGAAAGAGAATCTTGAAGAACAGAAGAATAGTTACGGAAGGTGCACTTGAGAGGAGTGGATTAATTTTTACAGGTTATTGAAATGATTATCTGCAATTTTTTTATCAAATAGTCTTTTTCTTTCGACTTTTAAAAGTACATTGTAACATAATTATTTCTTGCACATCATTTTGTTAAATCATATATATTATTCTTCAGTATCTTCCCCTTATACAAAATAAATTCATGATCACTATTAATTTATCCTGTATTATTTTTAGTTGCTTAAAAAGGAGTTGTACCCGAGCATAATGCTAAATAATGATAACAATAAACAACTTTGATTCGCGGACTAAAGAAAAAAACCGCGCGGCACCGTTTGAAATTCCCTATGCGCCGTACATTCTTATCAGAGAGAAACCCCCCAGCATAGGTCTCAGTCTCTGTCGCCTGCCAACCCTCGGCCAGTCGATATCAGACGTCGGCGCAGCTGGCCAAGTGTCACGATATCGCAGAGCTTGTCGCCGGTTTTTATCACGCGTCGCGTGTGTCGAGGCGTGTCGCAAAATCCTACTGTTCTGTCTACATAGATCTCGATATATCCTAATTCGGACAGTGGATAATCCTCGTCTCCCGTCAAGATCCTCGTCGGAAAAACGAAACACGCCACCATCCGCCCGTTTCCGTCTGTCGCGCGATAATCGATTAGAGAATCTCTTCTATAATTCATCCCCCACGTAGGTCAAGTTCTACGAGAGCTCTCGTCTCTCTCTCTCTCTCTTCCTATTCTTTTACTTTTTCTACTGCTCGAATCCCGAAGTTTCAGTTATTAAAAGTGAATCGCGAATGTGCAAAGTGTCAGAATATCAAAGGATAGCTTTGAATGAATTGGAAAGAAGGAACGATCAAGGAAAATATTTTATAATACGAGCAAAATTAACGCGGAAAATATTGAATTTTCTAGGCAAATATTATCGTAAGTAAAATTAAAAAGAGATTATTTACGGTCAGGGATCATTTTTAGATACTAAAATCCAATGAACTAAACAATATTGAAAGCGAGTAAAAACATTACGTTGATTAAAAACATGCCGCGAGGCCATTACAAGAAGCAAATAAAAATGTCTCTGACATTAACATACATAATTTTGCATTCGCGGTCTGTATAAACACGACCTTCTCCGAGCCTGACTTTTATTATTATTCGCTCGATGCCAATAGAATTACGGTTCAATGTCAACACGATAGTATATCAGCGTTGAATGTGCGTGACGAGAAAATACAATAGAAAAATTTGCGCTATTCATTCTTTTCGCTATGATTCTTGTGATTTCTTTTATGGACGGAATGAAATGCTTTTCTATTAACACGGAAGGGGACAGTGGAAACGAGACACGCAATGTATCATCGGTATGTGCGAGGACGCGACTGTACCTCTCACTATTGATGCAAGTGCAATAAATATTTGAACACGCGCACATATATAGAAACACCGGCTTCTCGAGTTGACATATCGTCGATACGTCTCGCTTCCGTGTTTCTTTCTTCTGCTCGAAATTTAAAGAATATATGTATTATTCCGATATTCGGAGTATTTCAGATACACACTTTAATAGTCGATAATGGATTGTTTAATAAATCTGGAATTGATTGATTTTCTCGTAAAAAAAAAATTTAGAAAAAGTTTATAAATTTATGTTTTGTTTTGTAGATATATTTTCGACAGCAAGAAAATATAATTTGCGAAAGTATATTTTATGCGAAAATATATTTATTTATAAGGAGCCCATGAAATATTTCGCGTGTAATTAGGACATATTAATTAATCGATAAGAATAACCGGTTATTATGCGCGAGAAAATTTATATGTAATTGGCGCGCGAACGGATGACTAAGCACTAGTCGCTTAATTAACAGGGTATTATTAATGCGATTATAATGTGTTACAGATATGTTTTTTTCTTTCGTCATTATGCGTTGTCGTATCCTTTGAGTGCGACATGCAATAAGAATTTCAAAATACACGTAACTCTAGGAAAGATACACTCGCGATAAAAGAGATGCAGTTACGCGATTAATTATAGGCTGATGAAGAATATTCAGTCATCGCGAATGTATGAATTATAAATGGAATGAATGACATTAAAGTATAACCGGATGATTTACTTATCGTTAGACGGCTAAATTGCAATGTGAATTACTATGTCGACGTAAACTCGTAAAATTTGCATATTTGCGTATTTATCGCAAATACGCTCAAATACTTGGAATCTATCGTGTATGTAGCTCTTTTTAAACTAGTTTTAAGGACCCAGCGTATAATATTAATTTTCAAGGCTTTTGAATTTTTTGTTGTAGTTTTCTTATACTATTGTTCCTTCTTATTTTATTCCTAACCGTTTGATAGCAAATTGACGTGTATTGATGAACTTTTTTCAGTTTGCAAAATTTATTTTAACGGTGACTTAACAAAAAATGTATGCGATAAACTATTGAAACTAAACGCGTCTACTACAAACAAAATTACTTTTTTCCTCTCTCACCTCGGTATCTTATCGAGTTCAGGGCCGCATTCGTAATTGTGTCGCGACATCTTTCTATCCAGACGGTCGTGTCGAGTTACCATGACGTTAGAAACCCTTTTAAATCTCTTGGATTTTAAATCGCACGTAAATAGGAGCAGATGGTTTTAGACGGCTTCAAGCGAAAGAATATCTTCCTGCAAATGTAAATTTTCGATACTTTAGTGTGATTGGAATATAATTTTATTATTCTAATATCAATGCCGACGATTTAAGAAGGAACAGGATGGAATAACTACATCAAAAGTTCATAAATCTGATACATTTCGAAATTCATGAATTTGGCTTTGCGCATACATAAAGCAGCTTTTAGCCTTTTAAAATTTAAAATTAATATTATTAATATAAAATATAAAATTAATATTAATTAAAATAATTAATTTGAGTTAAAGTAAAAATACAAAATTTTTATTCTACAGGGCAAATATTTCCTTTAACTCGCAAATTAATTATTAAACTTATATTTTAAAATGCTAAAGATACTTTATGTGTGCGCAGTGTCTAATTCATAAATCTTAAAATGTATTAGATTTATTAACTTTTGATGTAGCTGATCCGTTCAGTTCCTTCTTAAATGTCACGATAGTGCTATCGTCTCGCATTTAAATGATACATTCTTAATCGCGAAATAGAAATAAAACGTACAATTGCGGCTTGCAATAAAACATAATATGTATTAATAATTCATCACGAACTTGCTCTTATCTAATTAATTTCTAAAGTTAATTTCGATACCTTTTTGGGACCATAATTTTCTCTTTCTTTAGACGTAACGGCAATTTGCGCTGTGGATATATAACTTTGTTTAAGACAAAAAACAAAATAAGTGTTTTTCACAATAAAATAAATAGTCAAGGTAGATCGTCAAATCATTAAGTAAACAATTAATAAATTTTATTGAGGTACCGACAGTAGACGATATGTTCAGCGTGGCGATTAAAAATTAACAAACATTTCATATCCGTGTTTATTGAACGATTCTACAAGAATATTGTAAAAAAAAGAACCTTGAATAAATTAACGTTCCGTTACGATTGCTCTTATCAGTTGGCTCTGTCTGCCTTTTCGTCGAGCAATTTCAACGCTGTTATTCTCTTACTTAAAGACATAATAGTCGTCCGTGCACACCGGCAAGATCCTACCACGTGTCACGTGTGTTTAATTTAGAACCAGCTTTCCAATCGCGTGCGCGACTTATCTGCTGTTGCTGGCAAAATATCAACCGGCTGATAAGAGACACTGTTTCAGCGAGGAATATGTCAGTGGGATGTTCGACACGTGAAATGTAATTGCTCCGCGTCCATGAAATTTAGAATAATCCGAAATCTGTATATAATTCCGGCAAGACAAGATTTCGTAGGACGACGTAATCATGTGAAGACGATCTATGTTCCAGTTGGTGACAATAGGAGCAATTAATGTAATATTTCTTCTTTTTTTTTTTTTCGTACGTCTGATTATGAAAGTGACTTCGCGCTGAAATTATGCCGGTTACAATCCCTATTTCAAACCGGTTTCTCTCTCTCGTTTTTTGAAGTTGTGATGTAAGAATTGGTGGTGCAGTTTGATGTATCGCGAAGTATATTGTTTAATCGCTTAATTACGCTTTAATGAAGCTTATTATAATCTGGCTTTTCAGATATAAATAACTAACGCGACTCTGCAGAGTACAATTGCAATATTTGGACATGTAAAGTAGCTTTGTGAAAGTTAATTAAAATTATATTTCTTGAGTCATTCGATCTTTCATCTTTTTTATGTTTATCGCTTTGTATGCAATTATACATCGAATTATATGACTGGTCTCTACCTAGCAATCCGCTTGATCATGCTATTAAATTGAGCGCTCTTATCAGAATATATTATCTTGAGGAATTATCTATCGCATGTATAATGTGTTTTATCTTCACCATTCACCGTGTTTTCCAACGACACTTGCGCTAACACTTGCGTTTCTCAAAAGCCATCGAAAGCAATTTTCACGGTTGCCTTCTATCGAAAACTTCGTCTTATGAATTTCGGCCGCGATATTGCTCAATCATTATATTACACATTTATTATTTGTCAACGATACAAATCACGATGCTATTCCTTCGCAAAGTATAATAAATTTTTGAAGCGGTAATCAACTCCAGTGAATGTATTCGTAGGTATGTGCCTCGTTTAAGATTCAGACAACGAAAACCCCAAATTAATTAAAGTGCATCGGCCGAAAAACTGCAAGTTTCGAGAGTGCTAAAGTCGGAGACGAAAATGTAGACTTATCGCGAGGTTTGTTAAGTCTTTTGATCAATTTCCGTGAGCAACTACGGGTTTGCTACATCGAGAAATTGACTCTCTACAAGCGTACATAGTACGGATAATCGAACAGCTGTTCGATGTTGACAATCTGGCGGAGATGATCGATCATGATCGAGGAATAATTCTCGGGGTACGCGGCGATCGTGCGATGTTTGGGAAACGCCAGAAGTGAAGTGTGCATACCTAGAAACGAGTCGCGCCAAAGATATTCCGAAAGATAGGCGGCCTGGTTTTACTTGAGATGGACTCGGTGGCAGTGACAGTCCCGCTTCGTCAGCCGATGAAGAAGATGAAGAAGCGGAAGGAGCTTGACGCTCTGGCACCAGCGCACGCTGTCTCTCGTCGGACTTCGGGGAAACGCAGCTCGCAGGTGATTAATCCAGATTAATTCTCGGAGACGTCAGCTCCGAGAAGAATGTATCTAGGAACGCCGAAACGTCGACAATCTCTGAATCTGCAAGCGATGACAAATAAATAAATAAAATGAGTTTTTTTCCGCGAATATAGATAACAAAAGATACATTTGATACTGGTATAAATATCGGTTTTAACAATAATCGCGAAACGCAAAATTATCTTTTCGAGTCCATTTATGTCAATGTTTGCATTGTAGCTCGAAATTGAGATAAAAGAATGAGTCACATAAGTATGGATAACAGAAGAGTTGGGGATATTCCGTTCTGTCTGACACAACGATCAATATTATTAAATATTATAAGAAGAAAGATAAAAAATACAAGTTATAAGAAATTGCAAATATAAAATGTTGCAAGTTACAGCATTATTTTCTTTCAATTGTTTGTTTTTCTTATCTTTCTCAGGAGTTGTTAACAGACAGCAGCGATGATCGTTCGGAATACTCCGGAATACTCCGAAATGTTTCTACCAGAGGCGGTCGTAAATGCAGGGGTAGAAGGGGTCGAGCTTGTCCTGGATTTCTCAAGGCTTGCAACGCCTTTTTGGCATGTGCCTCCGTATTAGCGACTGCTAGTTTAATATGGCTGTTCATCGACGTTCGTCAACAGCTTACTGCTCTGCGAACTGAGTTAGACCAAGGTACTGGTCTAACATTTGCAAAGATATACGTACGCTATATGTTCGTACTAATTTAAGCTACGCGGTAACATTGTGGAAGAAAAAATAAGTTTTGTATCTAATCAAACATGCAAATATACAAATAAACACGAGTTCAAACATTACTCGTGTATACACATTCTTACATCTCTGTATCTAATATATGAAAAATATTTCCCGTAAAAAAAATATTTTTAATTAGAACCTTTCACACATACACAAAGAATATTTATATTATGTTATTATAATGTCTCTCTCTCTCTCTCTAGTAATAATATATCTCTCTCTTGTACAATTTCAGTGATAGCAGGTAGCGAAGGTGTACCAGATGCTTTACAAAAATGCCATTCATTATCGAGGGATCTTCAGAATAACCAGACTATTATTTTCTCTAGACTATCTGATCTCAAGCAGCAAATAAATAATTATACGGTACAGGTAAAACCGCACAAGAGTAACGTCGATTAATTCGATTGTGATATTGGCCGAGAATGACTCATGCCCTTTTTCGGATCAATACTTTTGCAGCTGGCACATATTCAACAGGACTTACATAAAGTACAAGAGTATTTTCAAACCGCGCCCGAGATGGCCACCTTGCCGAAACGCTTAAATGAACTGTCAGCTAGCGTTGCAACATTCGGTAGTCAAATAAATGATCTAGGAGCTACGGTAAAAACTTTAAAAGAAACAAATGTGAGGATACAGGATGCACAAACCGCTATGCAACAAAACGTCGGCAGTATTAAGGTAAAAAAACGATATTAGAAGTGATAATTTTGGAAATATAAAAAATATTGACGAATTTTAGTTAATTTATTAAACATTTGTGTATTTTATAGCAATCTATGTTAGAATTATCGAATATCACTCAAAAGCCTCAAATTTTGAGCACCGACGAAACGCAAGTTAAAATTGATAAACTAAACTTTACAGTATCACATTTAATGAATAATTTAACGCATGTTAACAAAACTTTGTCGAGCAAATTGCAATGGGTTGCCGATGATCAAGACGAAGATCGCGTAAGTATGACATAATATAAATTTAATAACGTATCTGTATGCTTATATAAAACATATCGATCATATGTATATGTGTTTCATATGTGAAGAGAAAATTAGTCTCGCTTCAAGAAGCAACGGCGGCCATTAACACGACAGTGATATCTTTGCAAGGAGAATGCGTTAAAATCTCTGAACAAGCTTCCGTTTTAGCATCATTTCAACAATTAACAAAGAAGGTACGTATTAAACATTCTTAGAGACTCTACTATCGTAATTGTTACTAACATTAATTATGATTAATGCAGGTGAACGAGATACGCGCGACAGACGTAGAACTAATCGGTAAATTCAAGCAATTGGAACAATCATACAACGGATTAAAAAATTCCACTAGCATAATGTTCGCGACCGTGTCCGAGATACAGAATCAGCAACAAGTCAGCAAAATTAAGCTACCGGAGCCGTTAAACAGCGATATAACGACAGAAACGGATCGCAGCGCGACAGGTGCGATAAAGCCATATGTAAGATTTCGATTGTAAAATTTTCAATCATAGATTCATGGTTATGACGATTTTTTTCGGATCATTGTTCCTATTTACAGATGTAAACGATATTGCTCAGAAGAAGATTCTAAATGAAACGTGACAGAAGCACGCGTTCAGTGCGTACGTGAACATGAATAAATGAATAAAATATTTCTCGAAAAAATGCGCTCGAGAAAAAACTTTCACGTGGAGGGAAGTTATTTTATACACAATCTGATGAAGTTGTGTATATTTGTAAATACTAATAAATTAAGTGCGTTATATAATTTCATGTACATAGAAAGAAAGACTATTTATGATATCATACACGTGTCTCTCCAGTAGAATAATAATACAATGGTATTTGCAACTTATGTGTGATTGATGGAGACTGCGAGCGTTGGCCGTAGCCTGAGAGAGGCTATTTACGCCTAGCAATAATTACACAGCGTATTAAAAACATTACTGTTAATAGAACATTCTGTATTCGACCTAGATTCTCAGAGAATAACTAGATATGTCAATTCTTAAACAGCATTAAACACGATATAGCGAAAGAGGTATTTCAGAAATACCATGGAAAGTACAAAGTCGACAGCCGTCTAAAACATTCTCGGTTGTATAACGTCTAGCAAAAAAATATTCATATTTAAGTAACAATGAAACTACCAAGAGTTTTTCTACTCTTCTACGTTTTATAGAGAGAGTAGTACTATAAATTTTTTAGTAACTACTGTAAATTTTTTCAATTTTTCTGATACAATAGAATTCTTCAGATTGCAGAGAAAACAATATACAAGTGATTCAGGATGTTAATACGTATATAGATGCAACAATATTAAGTTAACAAATAACAAACAGCGTAATAAAGTGATAAAGGTGTAATAGTATTGTACATTCTAAGCGCATAGTTGATTAAACTTGCTTTAACTTGCTTTTCAAGATTGATAAAGCACATTGGCAGAATCGGTTTCCAATTTAGCACACTGTATTTAATTTAATGCACTATATATGCAATCATATGTATCGATTAAAACGTTAATCTTTCAACAACAAATAATTTTTACATAGTAGATGATATAGCAGTTTGATCAAATTTCTATATATAATTTATATAATTATATAACTATTTATAAAT